GGGGCTAAAAACGGTAGCACCGAGGATCTTGCAAGGAGAGAGGGGAAAAAACCCCACGCGAATCCATGTAGCTCCCACCTTTTGCTCGGCTTCTTTCTTAAAGCCAGGCTCCTGAGTACAGTATATTATAGGAAACACCCCACCAAATAATTTCTCAAATCTGCGAGCTGATTGGGTACTTGAACCTTGTGATGTCATAAAACCCCAACATTTCACACACACCCCCCGTGTAAAACACTCATAAAAAAAAAAAAGCCTTTCATTTAACAACCACGCTGCTGCCGTGCAGACAAATATCAAGCCGCCCATCAGCGCCTTGCCGGATTAGAGAGAGCTAGGGCGATCGCACTTTCTCGGGGTGCCGATCGTGCACACGTTATATACGCCTGCACACCTATGGACGTGTATTCACCCGCTCCTGCACGCGCGTGAGTGTGCACGCAGAGAGACGGGCGTCTATTTCCCAACACTCATGCAATCATTTAAAACACGCGTCCATATTTTAAGGCAATATGTGTATATATATGTATACTGCAAATTTCGGCGGCTTTTTCGAAGGAATTTGACCGCCCTTGAGAAACCTTTTCAGCAGCTCTGCACGTCAACTCCACCTTTAGTTACTCATCCCATTTGCTTCATCCCTTTTCCTACATACGATTATTCTGAGCGACTTTTTACGTTCTTCTTGGAAATACGGGCGGATTGGGGCGCTTTGCAAAAAAGACTGTATTTTTAAATATATGTGTCCAGAAAAGGTCACTGCTCTCAGCAAGTTGTTCAGAGCGGTTGAATCTGGAGCCATTCATCACTTAAGCCGAAGCCGAATGCTTGTTCATTGCCAGTCGCTGTATTTATTAACTGAAATGAGCCCAGCCTAGAAAGTAAGGCTCGTCTCGACAACACTCGCAGTGCTAAAAGCAAAGGGCAGCGTGTTTCTTCTTACTCACCATGTTCCTTTCTTCACTTCTCATCTCTCCCCGCCTTCCACACTCCGGGGCTCCGCTCTTATTTGGCTGATCCTGGTGCCTGCTGCTTAACTTCCTTGCAAACTCGGAGGCGCTGGGCTCCTTCTGCATTTGATAGCCTGGGTCCTGGTAATCCTAACCCGGCTATCCTTCCCCGAGAGCAGCACTGCAGATTTCTGACGCCAAGAGATAAAACCTGGGCTCTTTTGTCCCATTTGACCCTTCTCCCTTCTAAACCTGCGAGCCGCCCGAGCGAGAGGGCTGCTGCCCCAGAGGTGGGTGCGGGAGAGGGTTTCCCATTTTTGGCTCAGGTCACTTCTTTGTTGGTTTTTTTGGGGGGGGGTACTTTTTTGGGGGGGAGGAGGGGAGGTCCCCTGGTGTGATGCTCCCTAGAAAGCCTTGCGGGTGAGAAGTTGGCTTTATCCTGCCTCTGCCTTTGTGGCTCGAACAGCAGCATCCGATAGGAGAATAATAGTAACACCACCACAGCCGCCGCCACCACCACCACCACTAATAATAATAATAATAATAATAATGTAGTAATAACAGTAATAATAATAATGGTGACGGTGATGATAATTGTAGTAGTAATGATGGTGATTTGTGAAGCTAGACGTATCCTCAGCCGCACGCGATCTTGCTGTGATCCAGGGCCGATCCCCTAGGAGGGGGCGCCACGTTCCAGCGCGCGTGTTGGAAAATCAAGTCAAATCAAATCTAAATAAATCAGTTATTCCTTTTAATTTGGGGCTGCGATTGCCTGATTCACATGTCCTAGCCTCATGTCGCTCTGCACAAGCCGCCGCCGCCCAGCCTGGGACTGCATCGACTTCTGGGGGGAGTGTGTGTTTAAAGCAGAAATCAGTGTGGGGAGCTTTCCCTTCAAAACCCAGCTGACAAGCTCGTGGCCCTGCTGCAGCAGAGAGCGCGCTACATTCTTCAGATCTCCCTGCATCCACCCGGCACGCCCCAGCCCCGCTTTCTCCGGGCAGAAAGTTTCCTGCGAGTAGAGATGCCCCGGCCAACACAAACACAAAAATCTTCTTTGTTTGGTCAAAGGGAAGGGGGAAATAGTTTGGATGGCGGTGGACGGAAAGCGGCCGGTTTGAGGAGGCTGCAGCTTGTTGCTGCGAAGTGTGTGTGCGTGTGTGTGTGTATGTGTGAATGGGGTGGGGGAGCCATCACTGCTCGCCCCCTCTCCATGAAGCAGGTCAGCCAGACTGGAGTTTCCCTTTGCAAATGAGAAGGGACATCCCTGGCATTTTTGTTTCCCCAGCAAGGCAGAGCCGCTCTTCCCCCTGTGCTAAGTGGTGCTCTGTCCCGCTCTGGCAGGCGGCCGGAGGCAGGCTGGGGAGGGAGAGGAAGGAGTGGGAAGACGATGCCAAAACCCTCTGCCCATCGGGCTCACACAACTCGACGAGAGGGTCCTGCAAAGAAAACGAGGCTTCAGGCAACACATCCAGCCAGTCCCCCTAGCCAAGGGCTTTATAGGACAGAGAGAGACAGCTGGGCAAAACCCAGCAGGAAGCTGTACCGAGGAGCAGGGCTAAACACGTCCAATACCGCGGACACGGAGCCTGCACACGAGGTGGGGGCGAGCCCGGCCTCCAGCCCGCAGGGCCGAGACCGGAGTGTGCATCGTGGGGACGCAGTTGGCTGCACAGGACGTGCACACAGGCGTAAGCAGCAGCAGCCTGGCGCGTACCCACATACACGTGTGCTCACCTCTCGGGTTTCTATCAGCCGCTAAAACGCCTTCTGCTTGGACTGTTAAGCCTCTCTGCTTCTACTGCCAGAGGTCACTTATTGTGTACACCATCCTGCGCACATTACACCCCGCCTGTATCATCCTCAGCCTTGAATTACACACTCAGTGGGCTCTGCCCATACTTAAGGGGATCAGGGCTTCTCGAGTCTGTGTCTACTGATTGTTCGGGGTCCCCAAGACCTGGAGTGGAAATGAACGGGCTGCTCTCCCACTCTCGTGCCAAGCAATAGATCCTGGGGGGCAGGGACTGAAGCTGTTACCTCGCAGCCCAGAAGGTGAAAAGGCTCCCAAGCCGTTTCTCCTGCAAGCTGGGCAGTCAGGGGAGAGCTCGCCAGCGCCAGCTAACCGGGAGAGAACAGTACTGGGAACATAACAGGCATAAACCAGTGGGTATAGGGGACACTACAATGCCCCAAGGGGGCAGGATTCAACAAAGGTTAGACACTTACAATCAGTGACAAAGGACAAGGTTAACAAAATATAAAACATAAACAGCAGAAC